CTAGTGATTTTCGTATTATTTTGATTTTTTAAACTGGTGTTTTAAATTCTGACTTAGTATTTTCTGATACTTTTTGTGGGTTTCTTTATTTCCTTTTGGTACAAAATGGGATAGAAAATTTTTACATAATTTTTAATCAGCTATATCAGGGGTGTCAAACTCACATTGTCACGCCATTGTCACGTGATGTATTGGGACTTTTTCCCCTTCACTAAACTGGGCGTGGTCAGCGTGTGACCCATCTGGCCCGCAGGCCGCCAGTTTAACTGCCCTGAGCTATATCATAGCTCATCAATACAATTTAGCAACAATAGCCAGTTTTTACCCACAAGTACTTACACCACATGTGCTTATATGCTTCTACATAAAACATGTGTATACATATCTTTGTACTAACATTTCCATATATGCTGATATATGAGATACCAAATCTAGAAAAAGGAATAGGATCTATGTTTTCCTAGGCAGAGGACTAAGCAAGATACAGTTCCAATCCCCTTGACAAGGGATTGGATAAAAAGACCGTGCCAAGGTAAAGGAAGCCCAAAGAAGCCATTCCAAATACATGGGGACAGTGTTCTTTCAGCTTTGCCCATGTGTTTTTTTCTACAAAATAAGTAATACAAAACTGTTGGGAAAAGTCAGAGCAGAAAAGATTTGCACACCAGAGCTAGAAATCTTTCTGCTTTATTAAATTGCCAAAGACATAGATCTTTCAGTGGGAGTGGGATTACTTCTTTTTGTAATTGGCAAGAGCTAAAAATATATGGGGGGATGCAAAGCAAGCAAAAAGCTAATGTATTAAAGTAACTTCCACTACTACATAGATATTCATTGTATATGCATAGACATGTAATATAAATGATTTAGCTTGCCCGATACATTTAAGCACATAAATTATGATCAAGTAATACTGCACATTAAATGAAATGGATCTATCCCCGAGACTATATATAATAGATTAATGCAAATCCTGTGCATATTATACATTTTAAACTTAGTAACTGATTAATAGGATTTTTTTTTAAAAAAATTCAGTATCAGCTAAGCTCTTTGGAATTCTTCATACCGCCCATTGTCCATTGGAGTTGGGCAGCCAATAAATTAAATAAAATCAATAATCATAAGATAAAATACACATGCATTGATGTACATAAGTGAAATGATGGTTTGTTTTTTTTAAACTATGGTGAATGTTGGTGCTGATCCTACTGCTCTTTTGGGTTAGAAGTACCTGGTCTGGACAGTGCAAGTATCTTGACAACTATTAGTTAAAAACAGAAAGTTGGAGAACAATCTAACTCTCTTGTGCTTTGGTGCTTTGGACTTTTGTAGCAGCACTTTGAACAAACTCATCTCTAAAATGATCTGATGAAAGTTTTTATGTTGTTTTCTTTGGAATATAGAAGTGGGGTTTTTTTTACTGGGATTTTTTTACTGAATTGACAAGCTATCCCCCGGTTTTTATTTCTTTGTAATCTTCCATCAAAATGCTAACTGGCTCTTTCTCTGGTTTCTTTCTTTTTCTCTTTTCTTTTCTTTTCTTTCTTTCTTTCTTTCTTTTTTTTTTTGGAGATCAGTCAAGGTTGGTTAGATTCAGCCAATTATTTGAACTATAAAGATTAACAACAACAACAACAACAACAACAGAAATCACAATCTGGATTACTGCAAGGAGTTGCAATCTTAAACATATGCTAGATACAACCCACTGCTTTTGCTAGATTAAATTATTTTAAGAACTCCACAAATATACTAGTAGTTTTATTTCTAATTATCCCAATTTTCTGCATTTAAAAGGAAGCCCAATTCTGCATGCATTAAAATTGACAAGAAGCATTTGTATAATTTGAATAGTGATAGGGCTGAATGTTAATTGCTTCTATTGTCAGAGGTATTAGAGAAATTTGAAAATTAAATGCCTTGAAGAAAAGCTGCCTTTAGAAGCATTTGTCTTTTCTGTTGCACATCTTGAGATTAGAGTAAAAATAACAGTTTTGATCTAAGTCTGTTTGCTGTCCTTGAGAAGGTGACATTTGAAAAAAATCACAATATATCTTCATCAATATTTAAGACATTGACTAGCATTAGAGAAGAGTCATGAACTTGAAGTGCGGTGATCTTATAAACCTGAATATGGCTCATTGCTCTCAGATACCTTTAGTATCAAGCATGGCAGCAGCTTCTGTGTGTCTTTTTCTTCTTTCCTTGGTTGTTCTTAAGCATGTCTTGAAATTCCCTCCATATCACCTTAAATGTTTCTGAGTTAGATGACCTGATGTTATAACGTAGGTGTGATTGACTTTCCCATGGCCTTCTGACTCAGAAGTTGAAGCCCCAAACAAGGATCAACGTCAGCAAGAAATGGCCAGGCTGTTGCCATTCTCAGAGAGACTTTGACAGTGCTGCAGAGACCTGCATGTTAGGGGCCTTGCAGATTTATATAAGTCTGAGGACTATAAAGTGCTAAGAGTATGGGGTTTACAGGCAGACATCCTTATCCTTACCTTCTGCATTTCTAACAACAACAAAACACACACACACACACACACACACACACACACACACACACACACACAAAACAACCAAGCAGAGGCAAATCGACATAGGAAAGGAAGTGTATTTTGTAGAAAATTAAAACAAAGGCAAACTTCACAGATATATGATGATGTTAGGCTGCTTTAAATTTAGTTGTCATTTTCTTTTTTAAATATTGCACTTTATATCAGCTCCTCCTCTCAGCAAATTGAAGTGCAAAGCACAACTTTCCTCAGTGCATTTTTTAAAAGTGACAAAAACTGACAAATCTGCCCCAACATTTCACATAAATAACACTTTCCCATCATCCCTAACTGTCATAGCTATTGAGTTGATAGAAACTGTAAGCCAACACACTTTCATGATACCAGGTTGATATGTGATGGATTGTAGCCCATAAAAGCTTGTGCTCTAATAAATGTATTATTCTGTAATGTGTGGCAAAGTTTTTTGTTGTCTTGCTACAATAGACCAACAAAGGTGTCCCAAATTAAAGATGCAGAAATTAAGCCTTTTTTAAATTATTTGATTTATATGGCGTCCTTCTCTAGAGACTCAGGGCGGCTTACAATGCGTTAAGCAATAGCCTTCATACTTTTGTATATTTATACAAAGTCAGCTTATTGCCCCCACAATCCAGGTCCTCATTTTACCTACCTTTGAAAGGATGGAAGGCTGAGTCAACCTTGAGCCTGATGAGATTTGAACTTAATTGCAGGCAGCTGATGTTAATAACAGTGCTTTAGTCTGCTGCGCCACAAGGACCTTTAAAAATAATAGCTTACTTAGGGTTACCCAACTCAGAATTTACTAGATTTGTACGTTGTGTTAAATTTAATATTATTTGAATTTGGCTTTGCTTGTTGCTTGAGCTCAAGCATTGTAGGTTATCTCTTTGCATCTTCATCTCTACCAATAAAATTCAATATTCAATAAAATACAAATCATAGATTATTTTAGTGTATAAACCCAACTGTAACGTTTTGCCTTTCTAGCTGGCAATCTAATGCCAGCTTTTATATGTGACTTTCATTATTCTCACATAGTAACCTCCTAAAATCCAAAGCTAGGATTTTTTGGGTGATAAATATGACTATCAAATTGAGTACATACAAACTTTTCCTTTAGTATTTAATATTAAATAAATAGGTATCCTCAGTGTTACTGTCAGAAGTGCTTGCCTGGCTGAATTAGAACATTCTACCTGGGTGAATTAGAACATTTTCCTACTAAGCTCTATTTTGTCAAAGGGGAATGAAGACACCTTATTGCTACAACATTGCTACAACAGACTGGTCCATCAATAGTTGATATCTGAAATTAAAACTGATTTGCTGATTTAGTATCAATTTAGATCAGAATGGAAGAGGTTGGTGGTGTTTCAAAGGAATGAGGTATTTGCCGAATTTAAATGCAGAAAATATACCTTTCTCTTTTCCCCTCAAACTGTTCTCATTTTGAGTAGCAAAGTGTAAAGCTGACTGCATGCTTACAGATAACCAAAGAACAATCCAATGCAGCATCCGGCAGCTAGAGAAGAACGAGTGTGCTGTAGAACAAAGACATCTTGCCTGTTGCCAAAATGAAGGTTTTGCTTAGAATGGTTGGGGGGGGACAAAAGGGTTATTGGTGTTTCAGGGGGTTAATGGAATTAAGGTACTGCAGCATAGCGTGCACTGCTAGGGGACTTGCTTTATTTTCTCAGAGGGGCTTGCAATTTCGTGCTGCAGCTTGTGCTAAAAGGAGAAGCCCAAACAGCCCTTTGTCTGTTATACCTGCAGTGGGTGTTAAAGAGGCAGCCTTGCATAGCAGAGGGGACAAGAGGCAGCAACATAGGGAAATAGTGTACTATAGCTTTAAGCGTAGCTGTCAGGAGCCATCAGAGGAAAAGCAAGGGAATGAGGGGATGGCGAAGGAGGTACCAAGGGAAGGGTCTAATTTCTTCTCCGCCTTCCTTGCTTCATGTGGCTGCTTTCTGAGAGGTTGCGCCAGCACTGGGGAGCTTGTATGGAACATTTGTGCAGGAGTGTAGAGAGAACTTGAGAAAATGCTCCATGCCCCGTTGCAGAGAACAGGGAGGACACTCCGCTCAGTACACTTTTCCAGACCCAGCAGGTAAGGATGGGATGCAAGTGGGTCTTAGTTGCTTTGCTGTGGGAGGTCCAAGCTCCTTAAAAGAAACAGGCTCGGGGTGCCTCCGTTGGTGTCTTGACCGGTGCCAGCTGTGTGCTGCTCTGATGGTGAAGTACAGGGTGCTAGAAATCCTCATCGGCTGCTGTGATCTGGAGGGCTTTGCCTGAATCGTGTTTAAGGAGGAACAATGGCATGATTTGGTGACTGGGTGGGGGCTCCTGGATCACTCAAATGCCGTGAAAACCATTCGGAAGCATTAGCTCATTGGGCGTGTATGCTACAAACTTAAATTTGAAGCTTATAACTTCCAATCCTTTCCATCGCTCTCAAAGTGGTGTGAAAAATCTACAAAGGGAGTGATTTCCTCCTTACTGCCGATTCAAGGAAAGCTATTTCTCTCTTAGTAATTCCATAAAGTCCAAAGGAAAATACTCTAAACATTATCTAAAAATTTCAGCCAAAACTGTAGAGAAAGAAAACATTATTGTTAAAATGACTGTGGTTTTTTTTTTCTTTGCTTTTTTACAAAATCTATTAGTTGCAGCATGCCATGTGCTGATATTGACTGTGGTCTGGGAGGTGACACCAGCATGCACACAGATGGGGAAGGGGCAGCTGGGGAGGCTTAGGGCATTTGATTGGCAGGGAGCCATGCAAGAGATGGATTCTTGCATTCTTCTGCTAACTGCAGCCAATTCACACAACCCTGTTTCCCTCCGTTGTGTTCTCTCCCAGTCCTTGCAGTGTTAATGGACCGTTAGGGAACCTGCAGTCTCTCTCTCTCTCTCTCTTTCCTTTAGGCCACCTGCTTTACTTCCTCCCTTTCTTTTTGTGTGTGTTATGATTTGAAATGTACCCGCCTGGTGACTCCCTGCAGCCCATCCTCTGTGAAATGTGATCTTGCAGGAAGGAGAATGAAGGAAGGGGCGGAGGCCATGAGGGAAGGAATGGGAGTTGGACAGTTTGAATTTGTGGGGAGCAGCCTCTGGAGCACGTGCTTGTGCGAGACTGACTTGCTTGCCGGGGCTCGCGAGCAGCAGAGCCGACATGAGCCAAGCAACATTCATGGATGGACAGCCTGAGAGCCTTTTTGTGAGAAGAAAGGCAATATCCTGTCTCAAATAGGTTACAGATGGAATTGCAGCTTGGTTCAAAGGTGGCTTTCCAGAGGTTTTACTAACTGGGGCATGTGAAGGTTCCTCCAATGACATGGGAAAGAAAACAATAAGCTTGGCAAGAAGGGACATTAGCATCCTTGCTTTATGGAATATTAACTCCTGAAAGATTCTGCTGCAGGTCTGAGGAGTTATTGGATTGCTTACTTAGCACTGATTCTTTGAAAACAAAAGGATTCTTCACCTCAGTTGAATTTTTAAAAGTTGTATTTAATCTTGTAACTTGCATCCCAGAGTGCATTATAATATCGTCCAGATATCTATAAAGGGAGGGATGTTCTGCATTGGGCTCCAATTTTTAAATTGGTGTGTTTTTCCTCTGTCACAGTATAACTTATTTTAAAAGTAACTCATATCTGTTTGGACAATGGCTGCAAAGTAATACATTTCTGTCTTGAAATACTTATTGGTCTCTGTGTAAATCTTACAGCCAGATGTTCACGTTCTTTCAGATTGACTGTATAGTTATATTTCATTCTGAAAGACAAGGAAACTACTCTGATTATAGTCATTCTTGGCTTGCTAAATAGCTACATTTTTTTTTTCTTTCCACAAGGAAATGAGAGTCTACAGGAGGAAGTGGAAAATGGATACAAATTGGAATTCTTTGACCTGGATTTCCTTCTAAGAAAGAGAACTGAAGGTCCTCTGGGACCATCTCATTAATTTTTGATTCTGTTTTTTATTATTATTCACAGAAATTGAACATTACGTTTAAGTAATAAGAACTAAATTGTTTTCTTCTACTTTCCCTCATATCTCTCTCTCTCTCTCTCTCTCTCTCTCTCTCTCTCTCTCTCTCTCTCTCTCTCTCTCTCTCTCTCTCTTTCTCTCTCTCTCTTGCCATAGTCTGTTAGGGAAAACGAAGATGTAATAACCACATAATGCTTTATGGGCTGATAATTTGGAGTTTTCTCTCAGAAAGTAGTCTTAGGCCATCTTTTAGCCACATAACATCTCTGAAATAAATTTGGTTGAAAGAGAGTACTTTCCATAGCTAAGATGTGTTTATTAACACCTAATTCTTCATAACACTGGAGAGGCTGTGTTTGAATGCCAATGCACTGCTTTGCATGCAGATACTGTATGTAGTTTGGTCTTTACCTTTCTCAGTGACAAAATTTGAGAAAAAGATCTATGAGCTGCGTTAAAAAGAATGATTCTTGGAATGATGCTTTGTGGCTTAATTTTTTGTCTTAAACAGCATTATGCTTTATAGCCAATTACCTTTAAGCATGGCCATGGCCAAGAGATTTGCTGAAACAGCAAGAATTGTGCCTTCAGTATTTCTGAGTTAATAAGAACACAAGCATTTCCATACTGAATCAATCTACCTCAAGAGTGATGCATAAGAATCTTCAACACAGCAAGGCTAATCTTCTCCTTTGTTTTTTGTATCTGACCATCACAGATATACTGGTTTTGCAGATTGGATTTTTGCAGTTGAAGACTCTGCCTTCATTGGCATCTAATGCTATAATTAGAAAAGCACAGGGGCAGCTTATTTGGGGGCAAAACGATGAAAGTTTTTCTTTTATTTTTTTAACCTCTGTCATGAACAGGAATCAAACAGTTGTTTCATACTGGAATGGGAGCAAAAGAATTGCTTGTTTTATGAAATTAATAAAATAATTAGAAAAAAAGTTGTTTTATCAAACAACAGCTGTGTGATCCCTGTTTTAGGGTTGTGAGCCTGTGCATCCCTAACTCCTGTCAAGGTTTTTATCTCCAGCTTCACTTTAAATGTTTTGATTCCAGAGACCCGAGGGATGAGGTGGGGCTGGAGAAGCCAATTGACTTATTGAAAAAGCAGTTGGAAAGACTGAGGGAAATAAGAAGTCATTTCCTCTGCAGTATGTGAGCATTTCGGTCATAATACATACTGCCTGCCAGTGTTTTGACTGCCCTCTGGAGTGAATTTATTTTTATTTATTTATTCAGTTTCTATAGCCACCCAACCCAACCAAGTATCTCTGGGTGGCTTATAATTCTTAAATTATAAAACAATAAAAACATCCAAAAAATAAATAATTGCTTTGAATTGGTCTGCAATGTAGAAACTGTGACCTGAATCTGTAGAAAAAAGATTTTAGATTTTTCTATATTTCTCTGATCACTGATGAATAATTACAGGTTTCTAACAGAGCTTGGAAAATTAGTAACTAATCATACTTATCCTGAACTGCATTGACATCAAAAGAGATTATTTTAAATTGATGTGTGGAAGATCATAGCAGGAAAATAGGAATAAATGGATTGCTGAGTATCAGAAATACAGCAGCTGGTATTTTTAGGCAGAGTTGAGAAAAATGAAAGGTTAAAAATATTGTATAATAGGCCTCAGAAGTTCGGGGAGTCCTCATAAAGGGACTGCCACATTTAGCAACCATTTGCAGTCATGAGAGTGATAAAAAGTAACTTTACTAACAATCCTCACATTTATGATAGTTGGATCATAAGCACAGTTGAAGTTTCCAATTGTTGGTTCCAATTGTGGTTCTCAAATGAGGACTACCTACCGATATATTATGCATGTGGGAAGAAGAAGAAGAAGATAGGAATGACGATTGAGTAACCCAAAGGCCATGATTGTATACACTCTCATTGAGGCTAGATTATTCTATTGTCCTGGCTGCATATCTTCTATCCCTGGAATTTGCTTTCTTTTTCACTTACAATCATTCAGGCTTCATTGGTTAGGTTCTGTGCAAGCCTGGCTTGCTTATTGATTAATAGTGCCCATTACTGTTGGATTAAAAGCCGCTTGTCCTTTACAAAGCCTTTAGCGAGCTTATTCCAGCTATTTCAGTTAAAAGGCCTTCCAGCCATAAACAGCATAGAGTTCTCAGATCTTTACTTTCTCTGTTTCTCGGGAAGTACTGCTTTCCTGAAACAGCACTGACTATAGTGGCTTCTGCTACCATAAATGAACAATTATGCTGAAGAACAAAGAGTGGTAAGCTTAGATCAGTGCTCTCCAACTGCGGCCTGGATGGGTGTGGTTTTTTGTGCTGCCTGCATCCCACGGATCAGGCTTCACTTGTTTGTGGGGCCTGGTTTCTGGCATGCCCCAGCCCAGTGCGGGTCCACAGACCAGGGATTGGGGACCCCTGGCTTAAATGTTCCTTTTCCTCACCAAGTCCAATTTATGTCTGAGTCTCATTCTTTAATTTAGCATCCCACCAATTGTTTTCTATTACTGAAGCCATGAGAAGTGAAGGCCAGACAATTTGAACGCATGCTATTTCTGCCATCTTTCTCTTGTGCCTGCCAATATAATATGACTTCTAATTTTACTTTACAGGCTGTAATTTCCCACATTTCACTAAGAAGGCAATGGGCCTTCTTTCAAATGTCAAGCCTGGCATTGGAAGGTCCTCTAAGCCAGTCAAGGGCCCTGACCTTTGTTTCCCCTTCTAATTAGGGCATTATAGAAAGCACCCCAGCAAAATTAATCTGGAACAGCATCCCACAGAGATCCATATAATGTTCAAAAACACATAGAGAATATGATAGTGACTAGGATCCTCATGATGCTTTATTTCTTTGGTTCTTAGATTTATATCCCACCTTTTGCTCAGGGACTAAAGGTTGCATATAAAACACTCCCTTCTCTCATTTTTCCCCACAATCTTGAGCGATAGGTTGAGCTGAGAGAATGTGTCTGGCAGAGGGTCACCCACTGAATTGCTATGGGTCACCACAGAGTCACCGTTGATTGTTGTTGGATTTGAACCTGAGTCCAATGCATTTTTGTTTAGTTTTAGTTTAAAACAAAAGCTGGGCTCCAAAGGTTTTCTCAATTTCCAGGTGCTTGCCTCACTCTTGATAAAAATGAATGAAAGAAAAATATTATACTGACCTTCCCCTCATCTAGAATCAATTCAAAATTCACTTGTCTCCCACCAGGACTTCCTTTTTTGGTCTTGTTGAACAGATTTTCTCTGTGAAAAAGAGGGAAGACTGTATCAAAGACCATCTAGCTTTGCCTTTGCATGGAGCTTCCAACCTCAAAAACCATGCAGAAGTCACTTTGGAAGTACTGATATGGAAATCCTACCTGAATAACAGAATTTCTGTTGTGAAGGTTTCCTATCAATAATCTTTCCTCTGACAAGAATAGGATGGTGATAATAACAATTATGGGAAGAATAAGCAGGCCACCTTTCCCTGTGGAAAACCCTTCTGGCTTCATTGCAAACTGCAGGCAATTATTGGAAAAACTTCCAGTTTTTTCTTTTTTTTTTGAGAATTCTTGGAAATATCAAACCATTGCAAAGCATGTCCAAGAACTTTGCCCAACACTAATTTTCAATTCAATTTCTAAACTATTTCCATTTTAATGCCAAGACAAGCTGGAGCCAGTACTTAATCATTCCTAGTTATTCTAGCTCAGTGTTTCTCAACCGCAGCAGCTTTAAAATGATAGGTGGACTTCAACTCCCAGAATTCCCTAGCCAACACCTTAAACCTAAAACCTGTGGTTCCAGTCCAAATGGTAACTTAGCCTGGCGGGGGTATGCAACTTTCTTCCTCATTTACTTACCATCTCTGGGCTATAAGCTAGCAAGGGTCACATGCAAACAGCTCACACTTTCAACAGATATCATAAATGGATGCTGACAGGTAACCTGAGATGTATTTTGGCATCAGCTATATGTCTCACACAACTTTAACATTCCAAATCAGAAAAGTGTCTTCCCTTTAGCCCAAATTAATGCTATTTCTTCAGCACTTCTGGCTGGAAGATAGAAAAAGATACCACATCTATTATGGGTATGTCCCTATGACTCAAGAAGGTCAGAACTATTGAAGGTGTTCTTCTGTATTGCCAGTTTTATACAGAAAATCAAAATACTCTCATTACACCACTCCACTAACATAATATGATTCACCAGTCAACATCATAAGCAACATCGACCCTGAAATAATACACAAGATAGCCAGGTTTTGCATGCAAAATCAGAAAAAGAACAAGAGCAACTAGAAGGCCATATCCTGAAGATGAAACTCAAATACTTTGGCCACCTAATGAGAAGGAAGGACTCACTGGAGAAGAGCCTAATGCTGGGAACGATTGAGGGCAAAAGAAGAAGGGGACGACAGAGAATGAGGTGGCTGGATGGAGTCACTGAAGCAGTCGGTGTGAGTTTAAATGGACTCCGGGGGATGGCAGAGGACAGGAAGGCCTGGAGGAACGTTGTCCATGGGATCACGATGGGTCAGACATGACTTCGTGACTAACAACAACAACAAAAACCTGCCTGAGTATAGATAGCCAAAAATGGCTCAGGCTCAGCATTAACCATTAATTATGTTTTAACTTCTTGAGGGTAGGTATGCTTTGGTGTGTACAAGCTATGTCAGCTGTTATATTATATTCCTCTCAGATTTGACAGCTGTCTATAAACAAACTTTGGATAATGCTATTATTCTATCTATCCTTTTTTGTATTTGTGTTTTATGTTGCTATTTTAAAGTAATATTACCTGGATTGCTAATTTTAATCTCTTTTCTCTTTCGTCACATATGTGTAGTTTAGCATTTTTGATATAATTTTTTAATCAAAATTCTTTACTGTATGTGCTTTTCCTAATTACCTTAATATTGCCAGATTGGTTTTGGATATTTGAATACCAATTTTCTTGTGCTAGTTAAAGTGTGTTGGAAGCCAGGCAATAGTGTAGATTCACTCCTTTTGTTTTAAATTAAAGAGGAAAGAAAAAATATCGGGAACTTTGTAGCAATAGTTGTAAATGGATTTCTTATTTCTGCCTCTCCTATGCATGCACGCCTACCTCTCCTATGCATCTGGTTTGATGATTTGTCCTCCTGAAGGAAACATTGGGCTCTTCCCTACACTATGTGAGGCTTGACTTCATAATGACTGAGCCACAATAGCTTGAGTTGCTGCCTTCCTGTTGCTCAAGTTTGTAATTGACAATAATATATCCGAATGTCTATGTACACTTGAGTGAAGAAGGA